TAGATCCTTTCAATATTATGTAGTGGCCTTCTTTGTCTCTAGTTATGGCCTTCATTTTGAAATCTATTTTATCAGATATGAGTATTGCTACCCCAGCTTTTTTTACCTTTCCATTTGCTTAGAATATTTTTTCCCATCCCTTCACTTTCAACCCCTGCGAGTCTTTTGTTGTGAGGTGGGTCTCTTGGAAACAACATATAGATGAGTCATGCTTTCTTATCCAATCAGCTACTCTGTGTCTCTTTATGGGAGCATTCAATCCATTTACATTTAAGGTGATTATTGATATGTACTTATTTATTTCCATTTTTGTTTAGTGTGGTTCTATTTTTCTTCCCATTTCTACTGCTAATTACAGCAGTCCTTTTAACATTACTTGCAGTGCTGGTTTGGTGCCATTGTATTCCCTTAGCCTTTTCTTTTTTGTCTGGGAAGCTCTTTATTTGACCTTGTATTTTGAATGATAGCCTTGCTGGGTAGAGTAGTCTTTGATTCAGATCCTTGTTTTTCATGACCTTGATTACTTCATGCCATTCTCTTCTGGCCTGTAGTGTTTCTTGTGAGAAGTCAGCTGAGAGCCTTATGGGGTTTCCTTTGTAGGTAACCTGTTGCTTATCTCTTGCTGCTTTTAGGATTCTCTCTTTGTCTTTAATTTTTGGCAGTTTGATTACTATGTGTCTTGGTGTGGCCCTGTTTGAGTTCTTCTTACTTGGGGCTCTCTGTGCTTCTTGAACATGAATGCCTTCTTTCTTCACCAAATTAGGGAAGTTTTCTGTCACTATTTCTTTGAATATATTCTCTAACCCTTGCTCATTTTCTTCTTCTTCAGGGATTCCTATGATGCGAATATTATTACGTTTCTAGTTGTCCCACAGTTCTCTTAAGCTGTCTTCCTGTTTTTTAATCGTTTTTTTCCTTTTGGTTTTCTGATTGGTTGATTTTTTCTACCCTGTCTTCTAATTCACTGATCCAGTCCTCAGCTTCCTCTACTCTGCTTTTTAGACCTTCCAATGTGTTTTTCCTTTCTGATATGTAATGCTTCATTTTTTCTTGGTGGTTTTTAATTTCCAACTGGTTGATTTTCAACATATCTATGTCTTTACTCATGGTGCTCATGTCCTTACACATGCTGTTGAGCTTCCTCAAGATCATGGCTCTGAATTCTAGTTCTGTTAACTTGCTTAACTGCACCTCATTTATCTCATCTTCGAAGAGGTCTCTTGTTCTTTCATTTGGCTTTTGTTTCTGTTTTTCACCATTTTGGCTATCACAGTGGGCTTTGGAGTCTGCCAAATTTTCCCTGTGGGTGTTGATGTTCTGCTGTTTGTGGCTCCCTCTCCTGGGTTTGGTTTGAGGCATGGAGGACCCCCTTTAAACACCACTGTCAAGTCTTAACTTTTCTGGTTAGAGTTGCTAGCCCAGGATATGGTAGTTATCCTCTAATTTTTTTGCCTCGGGGCTATTTGTAGCCGTCACCTGAAGAACCTTCGTTTCTGAGTTGACTGAAAAACTCCCTCAGGTGCTCAGTGTAAGTGGATATCCCAAGGGTGGGGCAGATGCTGGTTGTTAATGGCCCTCAATTAGCATTTCAATGGCCACTGGGTGGGGTTGAATCTCCGAGGAAGGGGCCGCTGCCTCTCCCTAGGGCCCTGGGAAGGAGTAAGATGACCACAGTCCTGCGTGGCTGCACTCAGCAAAAGCTCTGAGCACCCTCCAAATCCCGAGTGTCCCCACATAGTTCCAGTCCAGTCTGCCTTCCCTCTGCCAGAGCCCAAGTTGATTGGCTGCTGCCAATTTAGCCTCTGGCCGGGCTCTGTGTCGGTGAGCCGCCTGAGACTTTAACCCGAGGGTACTGCTCCTAGCTAAGGGCAGCATAGGCTGCAGCACCAGCCAAGGGCATAGCACCCAGCCGAGGCTGATGCAGGACCCAGCCGAGGCGGCTGCTCGTCCCAGCCAAGGCCACAGGACCCAGCCGAGGGCGCAGGACCCAGCCGAGGGTGCAGCTTCCAGCAGAGGCCGCTGGCCCCAGCTGAGGTTGCAGGACCCTGCCGAGGTGGCTGCTCATCCCAGCCAAGGCCACAGGACCCAGCCGAGGGCGCAGGTTCCAGCCGAGTCCCCTGGTCCCAGCTGAGTCCGCTGGTCCCAGCCCAGGCCGCTGCGGACCGTGGGCTCCTGGCCCCCTCTTGCGTCCTCACAAGCCTACCAGGATTGAGTCAGTGTCCTTGGTTATGTGGTCCTCCAAGCTGCTTTTCGGTTGCCCCTTCCTGACGATTTGTCTTTATTTGGTTTGTCTTTATTTTCGTTGTAATTAATTACAGTTTGGTCCTGGGAGATGGTCTGTGTAGTTTCCATTCACTCGGCCGCCATTTTTTCTCCAAGCTTTTGTATATCTGCCTTGTATTCTTATGTAAGTATTCAACATGATTTTTATAAATGTTTGATGTCTCTCTACAAATGGACTGTAAGGTGTTCAAGGAAGTGGGCAGTTCCTTTAACACAGAGTATTAGGAAACTGTATTCTTCTTCCTGTGGCAAACATTGCATGCTATTGTTTAAATATAAAGCATTTTTATATCTGAGCTCCGAAATGAAAGGCCCTGGAAGACTTCTCCGAGAAGGACCCTACACTGTGAGTCGGGCACACCCTGAGTGCGGATGGCCATGCTGCTTTGTGTTGGGCACGTCAGTCCTCCCTGCTCTGCAGAGTAGCTGCAGCTCGCCCTGCAGAGTAGCTGCAGCTCGCCCTGCAGCCTGGGACCATCTCGAAGAGCATGAAGCTTGAGACAAACAGAGGAGACCTGCTCCTGGCCGAGAGAGAAACACGGGTCCTAGGATGGTGGGGGAGTCCTGTGAGACCTGGTGAGAGACCCCCTTCGAGGAACAGGCAAAAGTTCAGGCACTTCCCAAGGGTAATTTCTGAAAAACTGAGCACACGTCAGGTGGAGTGAGTTGAGCCTGATTTTCAGGACCCGTGGAACCCTCTGGGGAGACAGACCACTGCGCCTGAACAGATTGGGAGACAGGGAGGTAGCTGACCTTCCCGAGGGCCAGACCGAGGCCTGAGGCTGTGGAGCAGAACCTCAGCGCTGCTCACAGAAAGTCTGGACTCGCCCAGAGCCTGAGGAAAGAGGAGGTGAAGTCCTGGAAGAGGACGAGAGTGCCTGTGGATGTGAGCAGTGCTGAACAGGACGCAGAAGGTAGAAGAACAGGTTTTATTTATTTTTTAACAAAATATGTTGTTATTGATATTTTTAGAGAGAGAGGAAAGGGGAGAGAGATAGAAACATGGATGTGAGAGAGAGACATCAATGGGCTGCCTTCTGCACGCCCCCTACTGGATTGAGCCCGAAACCCTGGCATGTGCCCTGACTGGGAATTGAACTGGGACCTCTCAGTCCATGGGACGATGCTCCACCCACTGAGCCACCGGCCAGGCTGAAGAAGAAGCGGTTTTAGAGTGCAGTCGGGCCTTAGAGCTCTGTGACCTTCAGATTGTGCTGTGAGGAAACAGGCCAGTGAAATGAAGTGACTCACCCCTGATACATTAGAGGCAGAGCTAGGATTAGAATCATTCATCTGTTTACATGTTTATTCACAAACATCTGTTGAGCACTCTGGGGGCCAGGCGCAGTTCCAGGCCCCAGATCCAGCTTTCCGGATTCATCCACCAGTGCCCTGCCCATCACCAGGCCTCCTGCCTTGATCCAAATCTGAAAAGCACATTTGGCATCAGTCTCAGACAAGGCTGGGCCCACAGATCCCCAAGATAAAAACCCAAGCTCACTCCAGATCTGAAAGAAGACAAGTCAAGGAAGCGGTAGCAGAACTCGTTCCACCGATTAAATGACCCAATACAAGCACAGCTTAGCATTTGAGAAGTTTATGACTATATTTGTGTTGATCTTTAGATAGTTATTTGAAATACACACTTAAAAAAAATGGAAATGGGTTTTTGTACTTGTTTTGACTACATCAGGATTAGAGAGAGGTTTCGGAATGGGGCTAGGCCAGGAATGGGGGAGGGCTCAGAGTATGACAAGAAGGGTGTCAGCAGGAAAAGGAAGGTTTGCCAAATGCCAGGCACCTGCACAGGTAGAACCAGGAGCTGGAATAGGATTAGAAGTGGCTCTCTAGTTCTGTCTGGTAGGAGACAATCCCCATCCCTCTAGGTACTGAGTGAAGTCCTAGAACTTTGTGAAGACATGCCCCCTTTCAGAAGGTTCTGGTGGTCCTGGGAGAGAACAACCTAGTGAAGAAACGTCTTGGCCTCGCTGTCACAGCCTGGGAATCCTGGCCTGTGCTGATGACAGTGAGAGCTGATGCTTGCATAGTGCCTTCTACTCTTGGCAGTGTTTATCTAACTAACAACTTTGTGAGATAGTTAAGGAAGGTGTTATTTATTCCTACTTTGCAGATGAGGCAACTGGGGTTCCGGGCTTGCCTAGATCACAGAGTTAACTTACAGGAGAGCCAGATGGAAGGCAGGCCCACTCTCTGAACCCAAGTCTGTCATTTTCCTTGTTAGGATCTGCTGCTTTACCTGTGGGTAGGGAAGGAATCCAGGTTTAGATCTGTTTGGGGATGAGCATATGTCAAGACCATCAGGCCTGGCTGCTGGAGTTGAATACCGATGAGAAGATGCTAGGTGGGGCCATTCCACTGGGATTTCATTCCTTGGCCCAGGTTTCATTGGGGCGGCTTGGAAGGCATGGAGGTTGCCTTGGGTTTTGTTGACCTCGTCTTCACAGGTTCAGGTTTCCTCCATCACAAAAAAATATTCATTAATCATGACAGTAAAGTTTTCAATTTGGGAGAGTTACTGAGAAACAAGAAACAAACTGGTATTAAAACTTCACTAGGTGTGTGTTCTTGGTACTTTTAATCCCAATGCATTTCTGGTGACTCTGGATCATCCCATAACTGCTTGACTGTCACAATGCTCTCAGGGTTATAGAAGAAACATGGCCAGATGTGGATGGCCCTTGGTCATGATTTTCCAGGGCACTCTGCTGGCCCAGGAAGCACCGGTGCCCGAGTGGCTTGTCTGCCTGCCCTTTTAGAGCTGCCAACTTCAGGAACTTCACCTTCATCCAGCTGAGCGGAGAGTTTTCCCCGGGAAAGGGCCTCGATGTGGGAGCCCGCTTCTGGAAGGGAGGCAACGTCCTTCTGTTTTTCTGTGACGTTGACATCCACTCCACCTCCGAATTCCTCAATACCTATAGGCTGAACACACAGCCAGGTAAGGTCTCTCACACTCATGCATCCCTCTCTCCACCGTTCACTCATGTCCTGCTTCTGAATCAGCCTTATTCCCCCCCAGTGACAAAGGAAAGGAAAACCATCTGGTTTGGTTTCTACTTTGGTGTCACAGTGTGGGCCCATCAGCCGCTATGATCCTGGACTCTGTTCCAAGTTCATGTTTATAACCCCTTTTCCATTTTCTCAGGAGAAAGTGTGGTGGGACGACATGACCTGGAGGAACTTCCTGAAACCAAAGAGAAAGGAGTAGCTGTGGGCAGTTACCCAGGGAGGAAGTGCTCTGAGCAGAAATAACCCACAATATGAAAATCACCTTCATAGAGTTTGACTTGTAGGCGAGACCGGTATTCAGCTGACGACTACTGAATGAGCATATAGGTTGTTAAAACATTGAAACTCTTCATGTAAATTGGTAAAGCGTAACTACCCCGGGCTCCCTATGTCTACTCCTGCTACCTGAAATCACCCTGGTCTCTGGCAACCCTTCAGATTGCCCCACAAGCCAGCAGTTAAAGGGTTAATGCCTGGCAGGGCAGAGGGCATCAGGACTGTCTTTCACACCCACTCTCATTGGTTGATTTTCAGTGCCAGAGCCACTGACTGTCAACGTTTTGGATTACACTCTTGAGCTGTAGAGGCCAGACATAGCTGAGAGTCTGGGCATCTGGTCCACCCAGCACAGAACTTCTAAGATCTGTTTTAGACATAAGTGAAGGGAAAGGAAAAATGCCTGAGAATGTCGGGGGTGTTTCTGAGGGTTGAGCATACGTGAACAAACCTCACAGTTTTATCTGTTGTTTTCAGCCAATGTTTGCTTTCTGCTCTGCAGGGAAGAAAGTGTTTTACCCAGTCCTTTCCAGTCAGTACAATCCTGGAATAACATACGGGCATCACGATGCGGTCCCTCCCTTGGAACAGCAGCTGGTGAGTAATTACCCTGCAGGTGCCTTTGTGGGACTCTGCTCCATGTCTTTCATTACCAGGGGCACCTGGCCATGAGTACAGGTGAGTGGAAATATGTGCATTGATTCCTGTATTAATTTTTAAGTTTGTCAGATGTTCTGGCCTTTGCTCCCAGTGCCTTGTTGATTGAAAGTGCTTGCAATATTTAAAAGTAGAAAATAAATAGAAACAGTACCTTACAGAAAGGCAATTTCACACCTTCCTAGTGTTCTTCTATGTTCTTTGGAAACTAGTATTACTGCCTTATGGCTGCAGCACATTTTCTTTTTATTATTACCAAATTCTGCAAGGCAAGAAAGGTAAGATTTGTGTTCCCATTTGACAGATGGAAACCGGAATCAGAAAGGGGTGGCTCTCCCCAGTACACAGTGAGTGAGTGAATCAGTGGGGAGCAGGGACCCGATCCAGTGCCTGCCACATCTCACAGTGGCTTGGGGTGGACATGAGCATCAGCAATGTCACATGCAAGGTGGCTTCTCTGCTAAGATCTCAGCTGCATAGGCGGTGGAGAGCGGAACCACACAGCCACCGAGGATCTCTGTAAGCTGAGTTGTCTCCGCTGGTGGTGGCAGGAGTCGGTCCATTTAGCAGAGAAGCAGGGCAGGCAACAGGAAGGTGAGATAAGCCAGAAGAGGGTCTCTGTGCCACACAAAGGCAGACATGCCCCTCTGAGGTTCCGTTTCTTGTTCTTGTCACTCTCCAAGCTGGGCTGTGATCTTCTGCAGAGAGATCAGCAGGGCTTGTCTAAAGCTGTGTTCTAGCTCAAGCTGAATCTCAGGGAGCATCTGACCTGGGGGCTTCTGTGTTTCGCTGCCTTGGGTGGTTCCATCTCCTGAGTGAGGCAAAGCCAAGTGTCCTCCCATGAGCACCTCGTAGGCTGGGGAAAGGGGTCTGCTGTGTGAAAGTGAAAAGGTCATAGACCAAGTTTCTTATGCTTCTGTGCAAAGGGAGAGCAAACTGATTTTCACTGAAAATGTGTGTTTTAGGAAATTTTTTTTTTGTAGGATGGATTCTGTGTTTAAGCTTCCACAAGTAGCAAAACCTGTTTTCTCCAGTCATTTCCTGTGCCCCACTCCAATTAACCTCTGGCCGATGATGCAATGATCTGTTACAGAAAGTTTCAGCTTGGGTTCTTTCAGATTGGACAAGGATCATGTCCTAGCAGGGTTTCACTGGGGACCCGTGCCATACAGTACAGTAATCATATAATTTTCCCTTCCCCATTGAAATTCTGATACCACAGATATGCTGAATGTCTGTTTATGAACTATATGGAAATATGTACTTTATACATAAACGCAGTAAGATGTTCCACTCCCCCAAAATTAATTTCTATCCACCCCCACTGAGGCAGAAAAACTTCTTATTTCCATTCTGTGAGAGGTCTAAGCTTCTAGGGTTTGAGGGAGGAACGGAATACAGGATTTATTTTCTTTCAACCATCAGAGCAAACCTTCCTTTGATTTTAAATAACGTGCTGTGTTACATGTTATATCAAGTGTGATTAAGGTTTTAACTTTAGTCTCCTAAAGACCTTATTTGCTTGCATGGAAATCTTTTCATTTCACAAGTTAAAGGTTTATCCTGTTATTACCATTCCTGCAGGGAAGGCAGAGAGAGGTATGGCCGCTGAGGCCAGCTTCTCAGAGCCTCAGAATTAGTGGTCGAGCCAGAAATAGAACTCAGATTGCTGTGTCCATGGCTGAAACCTCTGAATTATCCTGCCACCTTCAACAGTTACTTCTAAATATACCCTCGACCTCTCCCAGACCACATAAGTCTGATCTTTTGGGGTCCATTATTTATGACTGCTTAGTCCAGAGAAACACAGCAGTTGTCTGTGTGGTGCAGAGGTCTCCATCCGAAAAAGTAAAATATTGATTGTGTCCTTTACTGGATGAGCCATTTTTTGAGCACTGGCTGCCGACAGAGAACTAGTCTAGGTGTTAGTCGCGGAGTCAGAGACCCGAAACAGTTTTGCACACACAGAAGTGAGTGCGAGATCATTTCAACAACTCCTTTCTTCTCTCCAGACTTGCCCAAGATCACACAGCCAGCTAGTAGCAGAGCTCAGGCCCAAATGAGGATTTCCTTACTCTACTGCAGAGAAATAGATTTGCTTAGATCTAGATGAGAGCTGAAACCTAAAGGAAGTGATCTGACAAAAATTCCGAGGGAGGACATCAAACCACAGAAATGAGTGTACTGGAGATAGAATGTGTAGGAGTGAAGGAGGTATAAAATAAAAAGTAATGATAAGTTAGGAAAGACTTCCTACCAAGGGTTTGTTTTGGCTCAGTCTGGAAAGATATGGTGCATCTATATTAATGCATTCTTGATAGCCTTCCTGGAATACCTCAGTATCAAAGGTGAAGGGAGAACATAGATCCCCAATGTTGCTGTAACAGAAGTTATTTATTTATGCAAACAAAAGGTAACTTTTTCCAGCAGCCCTGCAGATATGACCTCATAGTCAGTTTGCTAGTTACTACTTCTCCTGGCTATTGCCACTGATATTTGATGACATTTTGTCTGTGGACAAAAGCAAGAAACCAAACTTATGATTTTGTGTGTGTGTGTGGTGGGGGGGGGGATAGTCAGACTACTTGTTTCTTTTTGAGTACAGACCATTAGCAATAAGTAGTAAGTAAAATCATGGGATTTCATACAAATATTTAATTTCTTGAGTTTTACACCTGAGATGAAACTTGCTGATGCTTTACTATAGAAGCAGCTCTCTGAGAAAGAAGTGACTGTCATTTCAATAAGTATTAATATTCCAGCCCTGGCTGGTTTGGCTCAGTGGTTACAGCATGGCCTGTGGACCAATGAGCTGTGGGTTTGATTCCAGCCAAGGGCATGTACCTCAGTTGGGGTTCGTCCCTGGCCCTGGTTGGAGTTGCGTGGGAGGCGACCAGTCGGTGTGTCCCTGTTACACTGATGTTTCTCTCTCTCTCTATCTCTCTCCCTCCCTCCCTCCCCTCCACTCTATCTAAAAGATAAATGGAAAAAAAATATCCTTGGGTAAGGATTTAGAAAAAAAAATATTAATATTCCACTTTCCTGGTTCAAGCCTTGTTAGTTCTCGCTGGGGCCGTGGTGGGAGCCTCTTACTACTTTTGTCTTCTAGACTCAGTCTTTCCTTCACCCTCTGTCAGAGATACATTTCCAAAATGCAGATTAATTCTGTTAAAAAATCTTTTAAGGCATAAAGCCAGCGGTGTGCTAGTAAATGTTTAACAACCCACTCTCTGAAGGGGGGGAGTCTAATGCATAGCGTTTGCCATTTCCCATGGTGTCAATTCTCCCGCCGCGGCCTAGCTCAGGCTACTGATGCCATGGCGCTCAACACAGAGCTGGGAAGACACTTGGCACGATCCTGGCTGGCTCCTAGCACAGCACTGCAACCCTGATTCCTTGTTGAGTTTAACCGTCCTCCACAAACGAACTCTAAAACTGATTACAGAGAAAATGTCTGCAAGCCCAGCACCTGGCACAGGGTACCAGCCCAACAGATACCCAAGCCAGCCGCTCTGCCAGGTGAGAACCCTGCCCAGAGTCTCCTCGTCTCCTTCCACTTCAGGGCCATCTCCACACCGTGTCTACTGCCCACAGTACCCAGCATCTCAGTCTGCCATGTGGCCCACTCATCATTTAAATCTGATGACTTTGTGCCACTGTGTTCAGTGCGCAGATGGTATGCTGGCCCCTGTCCTCTTCCTCTCTCTGATTAAATCCTCACCTCCCCACCTACCTCCAAAAAGTATTTACCACTAAACTGAATTTCACTTTAAACTTCTAAAAATTGCTGACCAGGCATCGTCTGTCTTTATTTATTTGGGAAGCAGACACTCCCTGAGTACCAGGAGTAACATTAGCAGGTGCAATCTATGTGTCTTTGTAAGCCAGGGGGGCGCTGCGGTATCTCATGTCATACACAGCTCTGCTACATGTGAACAGGCACTATTACGCTCCTTTCACAGTTGAGAAACTTGAAGTTCAAAGGCATAAGTCACCTGCCCAGACTTCTAAGTGGCAGGGTCAGGAATGCAAGCGCCACCACGTGATAGACACTGGGCTGAGGATGCTGAGTGGACACACTCTTTGGCCTCAGAGTGCCGCCAGGGGAGCACAGAGTCTGGCCTGTGGTTACAGATCCCTAGAACATGGGGAACCTGGACCGTTCCTTGTCCAGCAGGACACCCTTCAGAAGACACTTCATTTGTCTAATGAGGATACTGATAAAAGACAACTTGTTGAAAATGTGTGTTAGTACAAATCTTGGAGGAGGTGATATTTGAGTCTGTTCTTAAACCAGTGCTTTGAAAGCTGTGGCCCCAGAATATTTTATTTATCAAGAAACAGAAACTGTTGTGGCACTGTGCCTCACCACAGGGCATGAGTGAACCACAGGCAGCCCCCTGGAATCCCAAGGTGGGTGCTTACCAAGCCCCTGGGGCCCAGAGAATGAGGAGAGCATTGTGGGGGCCAGAGGGCACCCAACCCAGCCACAGAAAACCCTGAAGCTCAAGGTGTCTGCTGCTCACAGACAGGGCTGGCTACCTACCCTGCGTGGCCTAGTGCACAATGAAAATGCAGGGTCCTTGTTCAAAACTTAGTAAGTAAGTATGTAAAGATGGCATCAACAGAGCATTAAATGGACCTGAGGCCTTCTCAGCAAGGGGCCTGTGAATGGAACACTGCCTGCCTGCCGGCCATGAGGGCAGAAATGAGCTCGTGGACACCATTCGGTGTTTCTGGTGAACCTGAGGCTGCTCAGACACAACCTCGGTTCTTGGTAGACTCTCTTGTATTGGGAGGAAATACTCTGCCTGAGTATATGTTATTTATTTTATTTTAGGGCCCAGATTGCTTCATGGGCAGTTGTCCACGTCCGTGCAATTAAAGCAGACAGGCGCTGCCAGCCTCCCCCGCCCCTGGCAGCTGCGGGTGGCCACCTC